TCAAATTTACTACACCAGATTTGTAGCACTTGACTGTCCAAATAGTGCGAAGAGTGCTATTCTCTTTCCAATTTCAGATATCATCCATCAAGCATCGTTCCCTTCATTTTACCGTCCCTCTTTACCAAGGAGTAGTCATTGGGCTTCATGGAAAAACTCATATCCGTTTTCACCGTGCTTTCTCTCGGATTAATGGCGTAGCGATGGTGCCCATCATTCCCCTGGATTTGATAGTGTTATCATGATGTACTTGCCTAAAAAAGTACAAAGGAATATGCCGATCCCAATTACCACGGTCTTGCTAACCGACGACTGTTAACGCTTTGTGACGAAACGACGAATCGACGAATCACCTCTTTCAAAATGCTCTGATGAGAAGACTGAAGTTGCTGGTTTCTACCTATCCTCTGAAACAACTCTGCTTAAATAGTGCTTTAGTCTGGAACGTCATCAGTTTTATAACTCTGGTGACGAGTGAGGTATTTTGTCGTCCTCAGAATTTTTAAATCCATCAGAACGATCCAGAGATGCAGTAACATTAAACTTTATATCATAATTTGTTCACAACTTTATGAGGCAAAAAAAAGTTTACCGGCAATAGATCGCTGCTGCCTTCGAATGTGTTTGATGTAATGGATAGCCATTTCGATTATTTCGGTCTTCTCGACTCGGCCACGATTCTATACTCGTAATACCTCATTTTCTGCGTTTTCATTAAAATAAAGTAGAAAAATCTCCCACCTTTTTCAAATAACCCTCTGGTATTAATCTGCTAAGATTTGCTAACGAATTGTTCATCCTGTCACGACGACGTTTCTCGATGATTCTATGTAATTCGTGATTCTGAAAGAAAGAATTCATTAATAAATTTATCCAATAAGCACACACCACGCACATTAAATTCATTTGTTTACTTGCTTAGATTTTGTAACTCAAGAATCTTTCTGGAATAAATTATCTATGACCGTATTGGAGCTGAATGTAAGTTTAAAACAGTAGGGTCGTCTGTAAGAAAAAATAACGAATTGAACAAAAAGAGCATGAAGAGGATTCATCAAGACGATATTTGGACGAAACTAGAGAAACTTCATTTGCTCTACACTCGCATACACAGCTAAACACTGGATTATCGGAGTGAGCGTATAACTAATCTATGCAATGCAGGAATAAGACCGGGAACATATATATTGGAGAATACATGGCCATGATAAGAAGACAGAATAACGTTATATATCTGGTGAATTATAACAAACACGAATACATTAAAGGAAGAACAAATGGCTTGTATCTTGAAGAAATAAGATAAATTGAATACGTGGATCGGATAGATAAATTGTATTATGAAAGACACAAAAATTTCTTAATTTTAAGATGCAATGAATTCATTGATAACCATTTCTTCCCACCCATCTTTTCAGTCCGTCATTCTTATCAGATGATGCGTAAAACAATCTCATGGAATTCTCTCAACAGTCGTCTCTGTCACTTATCAAGGACCCTCTGTTCGACTCAGCTGCCTCTACATTTTTTATCTTAGATCTGGCCATCGGTCACTCCTCACAGTTCCACATCCTTGTTTATGCTGACATCTTCTTTTCTTCCGAGACAGTCACAGCGCTTGAACAATATTTATGACGTACCCATTGGATCCTCTTTTTACGTATTCATCGACGGAGCCTGCCTTTGATAAGCTTGTCCAAAATTAGTGCAATGTGTAAAAAGCCTCATATGAAGCTGTTTTGAAAATGATCCCTTTTGCTGACACCACGCATACTTCTGAGCATTTACACTTATGCCGAGATCAGCTGTTGATCATGTCTCTTCAGCGTAGCCAAGCATTCCTCTCCATACAGAGGCACAGACTTTACTGTCACCGTGTATACCTTTCCATATAATTTTATTGCCATTTTTTTATCTAATAACAAGCCGTAAGCGTCTCTCCATTTGAGTCTTTCTTGATTAATTTTCAATTCGATTCCGATCTTCTTGAGAAAGCTGCTTCGATAACTTGTGTAAATATATAGTTACCAAAACGCGGCAGATTCACAACCATTTAGGAATAAATGAAATCAGGATTTAGCAGGAGAAATATATACAACGTTCCAATTCAACAAATGACAACTTCCCTTCCAACATGCATAACTGATGTTTGCGGCTTGCAAGCAAAGAGACTATCCGTACTCTTGTACGTTCGTTAAATGGTACTTACTCTATGAGGTCTTTGGGAACTTTCTTCGCAATATTCATTCACTTGACCTGGCGTATCAGACGATGAGGTACAGTAATCAGAACTAGAGCACACTTCATTGGACGACGGCCTGAAATGGATGGTTCTGTAAAATTCGTCAGTACTTCAATGGATATGCATGTGTGTAAACTATTATTTATTTAACAATAATGATTTACGAGTACTCTGCAACGCAATATTACTATTTCTTTGTAGAGCGCGTAAAAAGAAATGCTATAATAAACTGGAATAATCTGAGCATAAATAAATGTACCACTCCAGTGCTTAATATTTCTTTGTTCAAATTACCAAGAGTAAATAGTGAAGAAAGTATTAGATTTAACGTGTACTGACACATTTAATTATTTGCATGAAAGGAATTTGCGAGTCGTTATTCATCATCAGGACTAACCACATTCAATCATGATAATCTGAGAACGATGAGAAGATTCATGGGTGAGAAAACTTGGATATTTGGTTACTTTGAGGACAGAGAAATAACTATGTCTTGAGAATGTGCGATCACTGAAAAATATGAATCCACTTGCTTGGTTCCTATGAAAAAGAATAAGAAAATTGCGAAGTTAAATGAAGCCATTGACTCATCAGGTTAATGCGAATATGAACACGATGGATGTTGTTTGGTTGAGGAAATTTATCGATTGAATTGATCACGATTAACTTATATTGAAGAAGAACGGGCCTGTCAGTAGCAAATTCGAGTATGTGGCGTGATTTTAGGAAACCCACAAAAAATGTGTTGATAAATCTTAATAAATTGGAGATGGGTGGTTGTTGATCAATGCTGAATCATGGATGCATCTGCTCAGTGCGGTGTTCGATGAGGTGATTAAGTTCCTTGATCCTTGTTCAACACAAAAGATATGGCGCAGTCGCGGAACCATAGCTAAACTTTCACTCAGCAATAGATTGCGATGGGCTGACCGACGTAATTATAACCCAACAATTTCATAGCGCTAAGCTTATTCAGGTAATAACGATTGCTATGCTGATTAAAATTTTGGTTTAAAGTTCTGGGTATTTCTTGCACCTGCTTTTATATTGCCAGAAAGCTTCTGAAGACTATGGAAGAAAGTTATGAACAGTTTTCGTCATAATCTGCGCCGTAGGCTCTACAAGAGTCTGATCTCAGCATTCACAGCATGAAAAATCAGTCATCCAAAGTACTCATGTCCGTATGAAGTACTGAAAGGTATAATTTGTCTAGTAACTGCGGTACAAATGAAGGGTGGCCCGCACGCTGATTAGTAGCTTAATTAGACAAAGGCAATCTGAGGGATGATAACTCTTTTCACGCTTTAGCACAGATC